GGCTGTTACTGCTGGCCGCACGCAGTCCAACGTACGAGCCACAGCCCGGCTGATCCGGCACTGGCTTTAGGTATCTGTCCAGCTCTCTCTTGAAGGCAGCCAGGGGTTTATTGGCAATTCCCCTAATGCTTGATGGGAGGCTGTTGAACAGTCTTGGGCCCCGGACACTTATGGTGTTTTCCCTTAGTGTACCAATGGCGCCCCTACTTTTTATTGGGGGCATTTTGCATCGCCTGCCCAGTCTTTTACTTTCGTAGGGAGTGAGTTCTGTGTGCAGATTTGGGACCATTCCTTCCAGGATTTTCCAAGTGTAGATTATGATATATCTCTCCCTCCTGCGTTCCAACGAGTACAAGTCAAGTGCTTCCAAGCGTTCCCAGTAGTTAAGGTGCTTGACAGAACTTATACGTGCAGTAAAGGATCTCTGTACACTCTCTAGATCTGCGATTTCGCCTGCTTTGAATGGAGATGTTAATGTACAGCAGTATTCCAGCCTAGAGAGAACAAGTGATTTGAAAAGGATCATCATTGGCTCGGCATCTCTCGTTTTGAACGTTCTCATTATCCATCCTATCATTTTCTTTGCACGTGCGATCGTGGCACTGTTGTGATCCTTGAAAATGAGATCCTCAGACATTACTACTCCCAGGTCCCTTACATTATTTTTTCGCTCTATTGTATGACCAGAGTCTGTAGTATACTCTGTTCTAGTTATTATCTCCTCCAGTTTTCCATAACGGAGTAGTTGGAATTTGTCCTCATTGAACATCATATTGTTTACCGTTGCCCACTGGAAAACTTTGTTTATATCTTCTTGGAGGTTAACCGCGTCCTCAGCAGATGACAGCCTCATGCAGATCCTAGTATCATCCGCAAAGGATGATACGGTGCTGTGATATATATCTCTGTCTATGTCTGATATGAGGATGAGGAATAAGATGGGGGCGAGTACTGTGCCTTGTGGAACAGAGCTCTTCACTATGGTAGCCTCCGATTTAACTCTGTTGACCACTACTCTTTGTGTTCGATTTGTTAGGAAGTTGAAGATCCATCTCCCCACTTTCCCAGTTATTCCTTTAGCACGTATTTTATGGGCTATTACGCCATGATCGCATTTGTCAAATGCTTTTGCAAAGTCTGTGTATATTACATCTGCATTCTGATTTTCTTCCAGTGCATCCAAAGCCACATCATAGTGATCCAGTAGTTGTGAGAGGCAGGAGCGACCTGCCCTGAACCCATGTTGCCTTGGATTGTGCAGATTTTGGGAATCCAGGTGATTTGCAATCCTGCTTCTTAGCACTCTTTCAAAGATTTTTATAATGTGGGACGTCAGAGCTATTGGTCTATAGTTCTTAGCTAATGCTTTGCTGCCACCTTTATGGAGTGGGGCTATATCCGTCGTTTTAAGTGGCTGGAATTTCACCCATGTCCTTGCTCCTCCTCCATAGTGTACTTAGGGCACGCGAGAGGGGTTTCTTGCAGTTCTTAATGAAAATAGAGTTCCACGAGTCTGGGCCCAGGGCTGAGTGCATGGGCATGTTGTCAATGGCTTTTTCGAAATCTATCGGAGTTAGGGTAATGTCGGAAATCTGGCATACATTTATGGAGTTTTGAGGCTCATTCATGAAGAAATCATTTGGATCGTCGATCCTCAGACCGATTAGTGGTTCACTAAACACAGAGTCGTACTGGGATTTCAATATTTCACTCATTTCCTTGTTGTCATCTGTGTAAGTCCCATCCTGTCTGAGTAAGGGCCCGATACTAGATGTGGTATTTGCCTTGTTTTTGAATTTCTTTCAATTTCACTAATAGCTTTAAGCTCCTCCTGTCTCTCCTGGTTCCTGTAAGAGTCATTTAACTTAAGTTCGATAGTTTCCACTTCCCTGGTCAGCACCTCCTTTCGTGTATCAGATATTCTAGCACTCTTGAGGAGCTCAGTGACGCTTCGTCGTCTTCTGTAGAGGGAGCGTCTTTCTCTCCCCAGTTTACTCCTGCTCTTCTTCTTTCTTAGGGGAATATGCCTAGAACATGCTTCATCTGCCAGGAAGTTGATCCTTTCAAGGCACTGGTTTGGATCCATGTCATTTAAGATATCTTCCCAACATGTTTCGTTTAGGACATGGTTTACCTGGTCCCAGTTGATGTTCTTGTTGTTGAAGTTGTATTTTGTGAAGACACCTTCACAGGTGCATGCATTCTGCTGATCAGGACCCCTATGCATGTACGTCTGGACTTCGATTAGGTTGTGATTGGAATTAGTTGTTTTTGATATTCTTATGTCTCTTATCAGGTCCTCATTATTTGTGAAGATAAGGTCAATGTGTGTTTTCTAGTCTTGTTGGCTCCACTATCTGCTGGCTTAAGGTGTGTTTTTCGCAGAGACTTAGTAGCTCATGTGTGTGTGACCTTTCATCTGCGCTACTGAACAGTATCAAGAAATCTTCATTGAGGGGAAGAATTAATCAATAATAATAATAATAATAATAATAATAATAATAATAATAATAATAATAATAATAATACTGATATTGCTAAACCCTTTTAAATGACCTATAGTAAAATAACAGTTCTTAGTTTGTAAATAAATTATGAGCGAGAGAGAGAGAGAGAGAGAGAGAGAGAGAGAGAGAGAGAGAGAGAGAGAGAGAGAGAGAAGAGAAACTGACTTACATAGTTGATAAGCAGCGTTTAATAATGCACATATCCTCGGAGGATCCAGCAGGTAGAAGCCAGACAATTCCTTCATTGTCCTTCAACTAAAAGTAACGATTTGTGACGCACAAGGTAAGCCCCTAACAGTCTGTTTGACCCAAGTTCACAGTACTGAAGAACTTGTACGTCCCAAGTTCACAGTAATGAAGAACTTGTATGTCCCAAGTTCACAGTAATGAAGAACTTGTATGTCCCAAGTTCACAGTAATGAAGAACTTGTATATTCCAAGTTCACAGTAATGAAGAACTTGTATGTCCCAAGTTCACAGTAATGAAGAACTTGTATATTCCAAGTTCACAGCTATGAAGAACTTGTATGTCCCAAGTTCAAAGTAATGAAGAACTTGTATATTCCAAGTTCACAGTAATGAAGAACTTGTATGTCCCAAGTTCACAGTACTGAAGAACTTGTATGTCCCAAGTTCACAGTAATGAAGAACTTGTATGTCCCAAGTTCAAAGTAATGAAGAACTTGTATGTCCCAAGTTCAAAGTAATGAAGAACTATAGTATATTTCCAAGTTCACAGTAATGAAGAACTTGTATGTCCCAAGTTCAAAGTAATGAAGAACTTGTATGTCCCAAGTTCACAGTAATGAATAACTTGTATGTCCCAAGTTCACAGTACTGAAGGGTTTCATCTTTGCCTTGCAATTCTTGAGAACTTTATAAGCTTAAAATGCTAAAGAACTTTTGTATAAGCTTAAAATACTGGATATACTTATATTATAAACTTTAAATACTGCAAGACTCTTGTATCATGAGCTGAAAACACCGGAGAACTGTTGCATTATAAGCTTACAGTATCTGACAATTTCGTAGCAGTCATACAGCAGTAGGAAATCTGACGTGTCGCAGACATGGAGGTTTCATGCGATGTGCTCACATGGTTCGCCATGCACTATGTTGGCCATGTAGAATGGGAAAAAGCACTTGAGAGTTATGGTAAGCAGAAATCCGAAGCCAAGACAACAGTGCCTACGCCTGAGTAATATGGCTAGCGCTGACCTTGGCAAAGAATTTTTATTGCAGGTCTGTACCGTAAAACTTTTACTGTGTCTCAAGGATGGCTGGTTTGGCTTATTTCAAGTCAACAGCATGTTCGTGGGTTATCATTATTATTATTATTAAAGATTCGCCGGTATTCTCCCGGCCCGGGCCTTTTCCAAGTGGTGGCCCGGCCTTGGCTCCCTCTTTAGGGAGTGTATGAGACCTAAGTCTCCCATGGGAGGAGGCACAAGTACCTCCTCATCTTTGGAACCAACTGTCCCCAGGCCTAGCCACAAGCTAGGCCTCTCTGGTCTGCCATCCCCGCCCCAAGGGGGCAAATGGGAATGACAGTCTTATGAGCTAAAGGCTCGGGCTCAGGCACCTACCCTACCCTAGAAGGGCTGGGCATGGTGTCGATGCGTGGGTTATCAAAGCTGTGTTCCTCTTAGTCCATAACTATTCACGAATACTTTAATCTCTTAAATAGTAATGTATTTTTTGATGAGCATTGAAAGCATGGGGGTTCATACAGCACCTATGTAACTGGATTTAATCATAACTTATTCTGTAAAGGTATATATTGCCCAGACAAAGACAACATATTTACTGATCAGCTATCGGCTGTTATACAAAACTATCTTCCTACAGTCATCCAGAATACCCAGAACTTACTACGTGGAGGTGAGATATGGATTACAGTAACTCTCAGGGTTTACACGCCACTCGGCGTATATAATACAACCCTGCATGTATGTAATACCAAAGTTTTGCTGCTTCCCTGTGCTACTGCACGTGAGGAAAATTTTAATTTGTAATTCCACAGATTACAAACTTGCCAGCCATGTGGAATATATTATAAAGTATTTTTTTGTGATTTGTAAGGATAATATCGCTTAAATAAATCCGAAGTGCAGAGGCTCGTCGTGTGGGAGGAGTGCGAGGTAAAATTCTGAGAATATTAATGGATAAATGTTGATGTATTATTTCGTGGTCCTTTTCATTTTGTTTAGTCCCCTCCCCCCCAAAAAAGCAAATTGTAATTTGTTGCTTATTATGTTTTTTTCTGGTAATGAACAATGAAACATCAGCTATATGTATGACGACTCGTAGTGCTCTAAATTTTTAGTTCAGCTGAGACCACATTTGTTACACATGTGAATATTGCCATGCTCAGGTTCATATCATAGGGATATATGTTGAATACATTTAAACTCCTGTTTACACCAACATAACATACGGGTATTCCTTAATTAAACTATGGTTATTTCGAAGGAATAAATCAGCACTGGCATAAAACATTTCAACGTTTATTGGACAATAATATAGAGAGATGATCGCATCAGCAGTCGACCATGCCCGATGTTAAACTGGTCGGACGTCCTTTGGGATACGACCAGGGACAGCGCGCGCGATCCCCACTCCAGGAAACCCGGCTAGAGTCGCCAGCGACTGGGTCGGCTGCCGCAGGCGGTGTTAGTGCCTGACTTGCGGCTTGGCGTCAGAGGGAGATGAGTATAAAAATGATGCGGTGAGGTACTGGTCACTGGTGGGTGTGAAGGGCGGGCACTAAGGCCGACCCGGGATGCTCATGAGCAGGATGTCACCCACAGCGCTGGGCCTCGCGCGTGGGGGGCAGCGTCTGGGTAGCCTCAAACGCACATTTACTCCACTACCTTCAGGGGTCCGAAAAGGTAGACGGCGTTGCAGGACTCATCGGGATTAGAGATGAACTGAGCGTAGAGCTCCTGGTAGCGTGCGAGGCTGATGCCGCCAGCCTTCTTGTCGTCATCCTGTGGGAGCCAGAAAACTCAACACTGAGACGCCGCTACATTGGGACGATAATTACATCATAACCTCACATTCATCGTACTCACCAATGCATAGGAATCCTCAATATATCTTAACAAAATCACTCCAAATGTGTGAAATTTTAATTTGCTTAAATAATTAATAGTTTATTAAACCAATATGTTTAAAACTTGCTTCGGTGAATTACGCATAATTTTTTTGATTTCACAAAATAAGGAATCACTTACAGTTGTGAGCTTGCTGTATGCGTCGTCGATGTCCTTGATGCTGGAGAAAGCAGCCCTAGAGATGCAGTCCAGCCTGTACTCATCAACACCAACGAGGCCATCACCTGCAGAGGGCGCGACCCATACACAGAGTTAATAAGAGGTCGCGGTGGGGGGTAGGGGTGGAGAAGGGGGGTGTTATTGTTCCGTGGCAGTGAGGCTGATTAGATTTTCTTTACTTTATTCACTGAAATAGTTACTCTCTCGACGTGATACACCTACATTCTTAATCCCCATTGCTTAAGTTTTTTATCCTCCGCTAGTTAATAGTCTAGCTCTCTTCGTTACTTCTTACCACCTGGTCCTCTAGGTTACAGCTTCTGCCTGTAATTTCTGCTATAATTATCACATTATTATTATAATCAAAAAGAAGCGCTAAGCCACAAGGGCTATACAGCAATGCTATAATTATCAGTGACCACAGGATATTAAATACTGTTTCTAGCATTTGTATTTAGATTTTCTTTTAGATTGACTGAGATTCCTAGTTTATCATCACCATTAACTTGCGCCTCATTATATATACAATATTATACTAACACTGTACTGCTGTCATTTTGGATTTAGGATAGATGAAATCCTAGCACTGAAAAAAATATCAGTATTAAGAAATATATGTAGCAGCACAGGTATAGTGTGGACGTTTGTCCCGAGGGACAAGCGCCACACTAAAACCTATGATGGCTGGTACAAAATATAAACTTGGGCCAAAAGACATCGGAGTCCCCAAGCTCTCACTTGCTTAACCAGAAAGAAATCATTGGATTCTCATTATTAGTAACATAAAAGTAAGAAATATAAGTGTATAAGACTCTTCGTTAAAGCATTTGATCTTCTTTTGATGTCCGATGCCTTTTAGTGCCAGAAACGAGCACACTAAGCACATATATTCGCGTTTCACAGTGTAAAGCCAATACAGAATAAGACCTCTCGTTGTGTCATGCAATGACAAACCTTAGATCAGGGCACTAATTAAAAAAATAACTGAATAACATTATTATATATATATATATATATATATATATATATATATATATATATATATATATTATATATAAATATATATATATATATATATATATATATATATATATATATAATATATAATTATCATGTCGAAATTATGCAATACCGTTCGATTATAGTCCTAAATGTCAAGTGTTAACTGCCGAATAAGCACGTGCAAAATATTGTTTTTTTTTCCATAAATCTCGAAACTCAATCACTGATTTTAATTAATCATTGAATTTCAATAATTATAAAATATATTATAAATCTTACCTATATTATATAACAGAATTCAGGTATAGCAAAATTACGTAATTATGTGATGTTTCTAAGTTAGTTCAGAATAAAAAAAGTAAACCAATTGCCAGTTAAAATCATATATCTACCAATGTAATCCTATTCTAAGATGAGTTCGCATATCCAGACAAGTTCTGCTTATTTGGCACACATATATATAATATAATCATTATTGATTAACACGGAAGTATCTTATTTAACATAAGTATAATATACTATAATATAAACATTTAGAAGTATATATGAATTATATTAATATATATATATAATATAGTATAGTGTCGTGTCGAATATGCCAAACCGTCGAGTTAGGCCTAAATGTCAAGTGTTTCTGCCGAATAAGCAGCGTGAAAATTATTTTTTTTTTTTGCCATAAATCTGCGAAACTCAATCACTGATTTTAAGTAATCATTGATTTCAAGTAATAGTAAATATATTTAATCTGACCTATAATATATATACCAGAATTCAGGTAAACAAAATTACGTCAGATTAGGTGAGGTTTCTAAGTTAGGTTCAGAAATAAAAAAGTACACCATTGCCAGTTAAAACATATATCTACCAATGTAATCCAGTTCATAAGGGAGTTCGGCCTATCCGACAAGTTCTGTTTATTTGGCACAATATATATATATATATATATATATATATATATATATATATATAAAATATATAAAATATATATATATATATATATATATATATATAATATATATATATATATATATATATATATATATATAATCATTATTGATTAACGCCCGGAGAGTGGTCTTATGTTAAGCATAAAGCATAAATACGCTAAATTATAAACCATGTTAGCACACGGTAGGAAGGGATTAATAAGTTTTCATGTAAATAACTGGTGGCATAGGGTTGGCTTGAGGGGGTGACATGTCTCTGTAGTTAAGGTAAGTCGGAAGTGTCGCAAAAAAAAACCAAAATAATATACAAATCGCAGCTCACAAAGGCAGGAAAAAGGAAGCAACAGCCATGTGGTAAAATGAAGAATATTAGCTAAAAAGTACCTGATATCAAACATCGAGATGAATATCGCTGTAAAAAAAATCGGTAGAAGCTTCTTGCTGATAGAGAAAAAACTATAAGACGAATCAAAAAAAATATCTAGAAGGAAATTTCTAAAAAAAAGGGAGTCCAGTCAAGGTCCATAGTCTCTTGGTCGTATTTACGGCAACTTGATCAGAGAAGGCCAAGTAATTTTTTCTCATTCTGTTGATTCACACAATGTACTGGGGAGGCTTGAGCTAATTTTAATTAATATCGTGAACCCTTCTCTGACGGCCGGCTGTCTACGGGCGACGGGGGGAAATGACAAGAACAAGTGAGGAAAATTAAATTAGAGATGGAAGACAGAAATGTAAAGAATGCAGAAGATGACGATTGTTTGTGATTTTGTGTACAGATAGTGAGAAGGAGAGCAGCTGAGTGTAATGTATATGACTGAGAAAAAATATATAAACAGTTTCATATTTGCTTCGCGTATACCGATTTTGATCAGTGACGCAAGGAAGAGAAACACAGGAAAAGCATTGATGTTCCCAAAGCTCAAATTTATGTGCAAATGTATTTAGAAACTGTCACTGTTGTTTCCAGTTATCTCTGTTCAGCTAATAAAAATTTAATTCATATACATTATACACATTTTTTCAGAAATCTTATAAGCTTGACTCAGAAGTAAAGAAAACTTCAAACAACATCAAGAAATTAAAAAAAACTAAAAAAATAAAAAGAATCCTAGCGTGGAAGCAGCTCAAAGACATAAACAGTGAAAAAAAAAGTACAACAGCAATAGTGCTTCTACGCGGGAAGTTTTAAGTAGTAAATGTCGGTGGTACAGATCCAGGTATGTGGTGCCAATTTGTATACACTAGCAAGAAATGGCCGTTGCTAATCGTTGCCGAGATTGATTTATTATAAGCCTTGGAATGCACAAAAGGGGTATTGTAGCAAATGCAGCAAAGAGAATTACACAACTGAATACGTTTATCCTTAAGCCAAAAAAGTACATGAAAGCATTATATTTTTCTTTTTTTTTTTCATTTTGAACGTACCATTAACGTCAACAGTCTTAAACTGGTTAGCAATAAACGACTTGAAAGCAGTAGGGAAGGTGGCAAAGGCCTTGCCCACACATACGTTCTGTACAGCTTTCTTGAACTCGTCAATTGTCACCTCACCATCCTGGAACCAATAAGGGTAATCTGTGAATACCGATGAAACCTCTTACAAGTACACCTGATCTGAGGATTCCTATCTTCCTATCAGGAGTAATGTGAGGTTCTTTTTTTTTTTTTTTTTTTTTTGCTTAAGGAAGGGGTGCTTAACAAAGAGCCTTGAAGATGTGTGTCTGGTTTGAGATCTTGGATATGATCGGACTCGGACAAAAGTGATGAAGTGAAAGGAAAATAAATGATAATACTACTACAGATGAAGATAAAAACCGAGATGAAAAACTAAGTCGTCGCACATACCGTTCACATCAACCGTTTTAAACTGGTTTATAATGAACACCCTAAATGCATTGGGGAATTCATCGAAATTCTTGCCAACACAGGCGTCCTTAACTGCCTGCTTGAATTCCTCGCCGGAAACTTCCCCGTCCTGGAAGTAGGGTTTTTAGGTGAGGTTTGGGAATAAGAAGTTCTTAAATATTGTTGGTTGGTGTTGGAGGTGGTGAAGGTGCTTGTTGTGTGATCTAATGACCTTCTTGAGGTGAATGACAAAGTGTTCTGATATCCCTGTTAAGGAGGGAGGTAACGTACCGTTTACGTCAATAGTCTTAAATTGGGCGGAAATGAATGACTTGAAAGCACTTGGGAAGTTCTCGAACGTCTTGCCGCTGCAGTGCGCCTTTACGGCCTGCTTGAACTCATCATCGGACACCTCTCCGTCCTGGAAACGCCAAATTGGGGGGTTCAAATTGTGGAATGGAGGCACGTTAAAAACACTTCCTAGCCAACGGAAGGCTAAAGGAATGGCGATGAGGGTGTTAACTGCAAAGGTTGGGAAGGATGCACATCTGTTGCACGCCAAAGAGCGTGTGGGTTAAACGTACCGTTCACGTCAATGCTCTTGAACTGGTTAGCAATGAAATTCTTGAAGGCGCCGGGGAAATCATTGAAAGGCTTGCCACTGCAGTTCTTCTGCACAGCCTGCTTGAACTCCTCAACGGTAACCTCACCGTCCTGGAAACGTTAGAGTAAAGCTACTGAAGAATCTGAGGAAAGAAAGCGAACCCTTCTGACCAGACTGCAGTCACCGAAAGAACCGAACTCTGGGGAACTATCACAAGCCTGCCGACAACAGTTTCAGCCTTGTAAAACTGTACATCAAGGCTTCAAACAAGTTTCAGCCTTCACCGATATTGTATGAATGGACTAATACAAGTGTATATTTGTTTTCATTCAGAGTGATTTACTATGCTCAAAACTATCGCCATACTTTAATTCTGAAAGTGGAAAAAATTCATCACTGTTAAAAGAAAATGTAATTTTTGCATGTGGGTTGTTAACAACCAACGACTAGTACTTTCCAGTTACTAATATTAAAACAAAATATCTTGAATATTGTAGAATTAGCCGCTACTCTTCGATGTAGCAGCGACAGTGTTTCATTCTCCTTGCAATTAATACCAAGGAGTCTACCTGTATTAGGCATCACCCAGGAACAGGTCGTTAAAAGGCGACAATGGAACAAGGCGCTAGAAGTCGATCTGAATATAAAGTTCCAAGAGTATGTTTCACATAAATGTAAAAGAAAAAAATAGGGAAAGCCGTTCTGATATTAAATGAACCTCAACTTCGTGATTATCATGAATGGATGAAACACGATGAACATAAAAAGGTATACAACTTCACAACAATGGATAAGATAATATGACATATATGCACTAGGACTGACACTGCAGAAGCAATATGTATTTAAAGCCAAAGTAATACCATATTGGCAGACATTTTGCGGCTAGGCTGCTGAGAACACGGTTATGGCTTGTGCTGCAAAACGTTGGTTATGACAGCGCACTAAATCTGCAACAGCAGTATCATCAGCGGCAACAACAGAGGCATCATTCTGTTGTTAGTGGCTTCGCTATTTCAGTTTGCATCATTGCTACCTACCGTTAATATCAACCGTCCTGAACAGCCTTGAAATGACAGTCTTGAAGCATGAGGGGAACTCATCGTACTTCTTGCCAACACACAGGTTCTGGACCGCCTTTTTGAACTCGTCCACAGTGACCTCTCCATCCTGTAAACAGCAGTGGTGACCCCTACACTTCCCTTCTGCTTATCCTCCGTCCCTCTCGGATACCTTTCACTATTTTTTTTGCTCCCCCCGCCCTTATGTCCCAAGACAGTTCACACTTCTTGCTTCAAGACAGTGCTGCCTCCCATCATGTTGGTGCCCTCTTGCTCCTCTGGTTATCCTTCCCTAGGGCTTATAATGTAATGTCTGAACTTCCTGCTATGGCAACTTAACCCTGCCACGATTAAAGAGGATTATATGGTATCTGCCTTAGCACTCTCACCTCAGGTTAGCCTTTCGTATGAGGCATAATAATTTTAGGTTATTTACCCGCCAGCTATCAAGGCTTCCTGGAAATGCATCACAGTAAATTATAAAAAATGGTAGACTCTAATTATCTCTATGATATTTATAAGTAACAAATAATGCATGTTTAGCCTACTGTTTTTAATTACAATAAGTCGTACATACATGAATTAGTGAAAGTAAGAGTTTTTTTTTTATTTTTAATTGACCTGATTCTGGTTGATTATCGTAAAGTGACTGAATTTAGCGTACGCACCTTTATAATACATTCTGGTTCTGCGATGCTGGCCTGTTCATTACAGTGCCCTAGACCATCCCATATAGCATGTCATTTATGACGTATACTGTATGTATTTATGATGCAATTGTAATGATCTCCCTGAAGAGATGTTACTTTTCCTTTACCCTTCTGACTAAACTTGACAACCATTCTGAATCCCTCCCTCCCCTACCTGCAATTACAAACCTTTCTTAGAATATAAACTGTATTCTGTGTAAATTTCTTGTGTCATTATGACCCTGTTTCTTTCTGCAATCCTGACTTGTGAGGATATACTCAAACCTAGAGTAAACTCTTAATTTGAGACTTTAAATATTAAAACCTTTGAAAAGAATAAATTAGACAGACCCAACAAGTATACCCTGTTACCTAACGTTGAGTGAGGCTTCGTCCCTCCATGGGTTTGTCTCAACTTTACCTTGTTGAAGTCAGCAAGCTCGGCGATTTCGTTCCACAGATTGGACATGACTTTCTGGTTGTTGGCATAGGCAGCATCGTTGAACTCACCACGGCCCTCAATAAGCGTGTTCCTAAGAGCGAGACACTCAAAGTCGTTCTTGTCGAGGAAGCCGTTGTTGTCAATGTCTGGTGAGCAAAAGAATAATAAGCGGTTAGCCAAGATTGATATACCTTGAGGCGTCGTTAGTAAATAAGAAACAATAGTTCTCGTGGCTACTGCTCAATACAGTTTATATGGTAAAAATGTCAACTTGGACTTTATTGCAGATTATAACCATATGTTTCCGATTGAAATCTCAGGAATTTAAACACTTGAAATTAAAACTGTTGGATACCAGCAAGTCAAATATAAAATAAACTCCAAGAGCGACGTAAAAACACTGATTTAAGAACTGTACATTTCATTCTACATACACTTTCTGCTTATAAGTTTAGGGTGGAAATAGGCAAGTGGGTGGGCGGGGGCGCAAAAAACTTTAAACCGTAAAAACAGCAACAATACAGTTTTCAAATACACTATTGAAACAAAAATTCTGTGAAACGATGCAGCTTTTTGCGTATGTAGCATATCAAGCTTCAGTGGAGGGATGGTCTACAAATTACAGCAAAATTAAATTAAACACAGCAAGATTGACTATCATCCGCCTTGTTTACCACATTGACGTGGTATCTACATGAATATCACTTTTCTTATCTACATAATGTAGCCGCCATCGAGTCAGATTTCTTGCTCTTTCTATATGTTTCTATCTACTTTATGCAAATCCCGTTTGTACTATAAATTAACTGTTTTAACTTCAGGTTATTTAGTCGTGATTGGGATACGCTGAACCATGACACTGGTGCTAGAGTAACAGAAGATAACAAGTAAAAAAAGTCTTAAAATTGGAACTGCCAAAATATTGTACCCAAGGAAGAATGCGACACTGGTGGAGAATGTAACAATGGGGTTGGCAAACCTTACAGTATTTGCCGCACTCACTGGGGAAACATTAAACCTGTACACTAAAATAACCACCGCTGGCCGGTAGCTAGTTTAGTCGGTGTTGTGAGCCGCCAGGTTTTCTTGTGGTATATTTGTGAGTTAGTGAATGCTTACTCTAATTGCTCCTGTCGTGAGTCACGGCTGTTTATTTAAAACTAGAAGAATCTGAGAAGGTTTAACTCTCACCTGTGCGACACAAATGGACTTTACTCTGTTAAACTGAGAAAATTTGTAGGGAACACAGAATACGCATTAACTTTATTGCAATTTTGTTAAAGACTAAGCTGCGGGCAAAGTAAGGTAGCACGCGCAATGGACTACAATGTCGAGACGCCCAGTTTAATTATTGTCTAGCGACTTTGCAAAGAGAATTTATTTCACTAGGAAAAATTCACCCTATTTATTTAATATACGAAAATTAATTACAGTTTAATTTTATATTTTCACATTAAATCGCTTCTAGGAGAGAAAATAAATGTAATGATTAAATTTTGCAAACGTGTTCAACCTTTCAGATGAAATAAACGTTTATATATTAGAGCAATAAAACGTTGTATACTCTGACAAAGTGTTTTAGTTAATTTTAGTTCTAGTTAGCATACGCAGAGGAAATCATTGAAAGCTACAGTAAAATATTTTAAGTTAACACAAATGAAAAGGTCCTCAAGCGATGCAAATATTTCCTGGATCCCAAACTTTGTGCCAGTCTGCAGGTCCTCTAATGGAGTGTACTTATAACTACCGTTAGAGAGGAGGAAGGCTGGGAAAAAAAACAAACATATGCGGTAACAGGGATAACAGAGATGAAGAATACATAGATGAAAGTAAAGCGATAAGAAAATAATGGTAACGTGAGGATGAGGGGAGAAAGGGAATGAAAAGACCGAAGGAGAAAGATAGGAAGAAAAGGATGTAAGGATAAGAAAAGGGGCGAGACAAAAGTTGGGAACAGAACGGAAGAGAGACGTAAGGAGGAAGGAAGTGGGGGGGGGGGGATTGTCAGTTGTGGGCAGAGTTATAACTGCGAGAGGGTCACCTTTAGTAGAGTGAACTCTGGTCAAGATGACACAGCGCCACAACCAAGTAAGCGCACCACACCCTTCCCCGGTCTTCCACTACCACACTGACACAAGGGAAAGCAGAGGTTGCGGAAGAAACATGGAAATGTTTGGAGGGTTAGACGTGTGTTGGGTAGGAGAGGGAAGGAGGAAGGAGATGGGGTGAGAGGTAGAGGCAGGCTTGAGTGAGGAGGAGAAAATTAAGGTACTGAATTTAATTTGGATTTTGCTGTCGAAGCAGCCAAATTACTATGCCCCGCATATATATCCTGTGGACAGAAATGATACAGCTCCGGAAGCGTTGAGGTTAGGAAGTGGGTGAGACAAACCCCACGGAAATACAATATTATTTTTAGGTGGTAATCTTGATTAAATTATAATTAGCTATTTTTGTATGCTTATAATGGTAACTGGTTACACGAGGGGGCGCGCTCTCACTCTCCTCTAGGTTCGGAGGAGCTGGGCTTGGTAACGTAGCTCGATGGAGTTAGGAATCAGTGGTCGTGGCAGAGTATAGTTTTATTTATTTATGACTTAAAGTTCTCGCTGAAACCATGGTCGGGAGAGCTCGTGCAGGGCAGCATCACAGCTACTATGAATACTGACGTTTAGTGTTGCTGTCTTCGCTGCCATAAATGACCTTAGACCGTGAAAAGCAAATAACTTTTGCTATGAGACTGCTAAAAGGAAATTGTTAAGTGAAGTATAATGCATAGATAATCCATATTGTGACTGCAGTTATACCTGGAGGTTACCTGGAGGTTATTCCGGGGATCAACGCCCCCGCGGCCCGGTCCATGACCAGGCCTCCCGATGGATCAGGGCCTGATCAACTAGGCTGTTACTGCTGGCCGCACGCAGTCCAACGTACGAGCCACAGCCCGGCTGATCCGGCACTGACTTTAGGTATCTGTCCAGCTCTCTCTTGAAGGTAGCCAGGGGTTTATTGGCAATTCCCCTAATGCTTGATGGGAGGCTGTTGAACAGTTTTGGGCCCCGGACACTTATGGTGTTTTCTCTTAGTGTACCAATGGCGCCCCTACTTTTTATTGGCGGCATTTTGCATCGCCTGCCCAGTCTTTTACTTTCGTAGGGAGTGATTTCTGTGTGCAGATTTGGGACCATTCCTTCCAGGATTTTCCAAGTGTAGATTATGATATATCTCTCCCTCCTGCGTTCCAACGAGTACAAGTCAAGTGCTTCCAAGCGTTCCCAGTATATACGATAACGTTAGATCTAGAACTGTAGACAAGCAACATCAACGATATATAAGCTGTCCTTTGCTCGTGTCAAAATAAAGTTAGGCTCAGCTTCTTTTTTTAATGGCCATATAAAGAAATTTCGATCTATTAATTCTAAGGCTTATTTTTGTATATAATGTTATTTTTCTGCAAGGGATCGAAGTCTTACTAGTCATTTACCATATGTGTAATGAGGATTCTGTTTATTCAGTTTAAAATTACATAATGACAAATAACTTGCTAAATAATGCCATGAAATCTATACAATATATCAACTTATAAGTTTTGTAAATACTGATTTGGCTTTCCAAGCAGTGCAAAACTCGACAAGCAGAGTGGATTCAGGCGAATAGAGAATATCAATTATTTTTAGATTTATTGCAAACGAATGGTGGAAAACTGATAATACTAATTAGAGGTGTAGTAGCTTGTGCGTATAAGGGGTTTATTAGTCCGAGAATGAAAATAAAATATACATCAATAAGGAGAACAGACCAAAGCTGTGAGACGAGACAGCGAATGCGTTTAGTATCTTATTAAGACTCGGTCAAAGGAAGAAGCATTGAAATTATACAGCAAAGGCACTGACTGAGAGGCTTCACGCAGAAGAACAATGTACTTGGCTGATCCTCCATTATTTTGCCAGAGATAACTTGAAGAGTTTATTCTAAAATCACTAAGTAACGTCAACGGTGCTTGAGTTTACGTATACGCTTTTTCCCTTCAGAAAGTATATCGAAAAGGCTACACGGGTTTTTTTTTTTAAGAAGTGATTAAATTTTTGGAGGTTTGAATATGTCATGAAGTCGTGGGGCGTCTTGCGCAGGTGCACAACCCGGGACCTTGCTGCCACCCTCAACAACCAGAGGCCCCGCGGCCACCCTCAACAACCAGAGGCCCCGCGGCCACCCTCAACAAGTCCCAGAGCGCCTCCAACGGACCGCGACATAAAACTCAACAGCAAGGCCCATCAGCGTCAACAACAGATGGACTCCTATAGCACTACGTCAAAAAGAAGCATTGACATATACAACAAGGCACTGAACCAGAGGCTCACGCAGAAGAACTAATGTACTTGCTGACCTCCATATTTTGCCAAGAATAACTTGAAGGCTTTATCTCAAAATCACAAGAACTCAACGGTGCTCATTAACGTATACAGAGCTTCCCTCCCAGAAGTATACAAAATGCTACACGGGTCACTATTTAAAGATGCTGAATTCAAAACGAGGTTCGGATATTAAAGAAGTCGTGGGGCGTACTTGCCCCAGGTGCACAACCCACAGGACCCTGCTGCCACCCTCAACAACCAGAGGCCCCGCGGCCACCCTCAACAACCAGAGGCCCCGCGGCCACCCTCAACAACCAGATGCCCCGCGGCCACACTCAACAACCAGAGGCCCCGCGGCCACACTCAACAACCAGAGGCCCCGCGGCCACACTCAACCAAGGGTCCCACGGCCACACTCAACAACCAGGGACCCCGCGGCCACACTCAACCATAGTCACCACGGCCACACTCAACAACCATGGACACCCTGGCCACACTCAAAAAACCAGGGACCACCTCCGGCCCGCCACACTCAACAACTAGATGCACCACTGCCACACTCAATAACTAGATGCACCACTGCCACACTCAACAATTAGATGCACCACTGCCACACTCAACAACCAGATGCCCCGCTGCCACCTCAACAACCAGATGCCCCGCCACCCTCAACTAACTAGATGCACCCTGCACCTCACAACGAGCCACTCCCACTCAACCAGATGCCCGACTGCCACACTCAACAACAGATGCCCCTGCCACACTCAACAACAGATGCCCCCTGCCACACTCAACAACCAGAGGCCCGCGGCCACACTCAACAACCAGATGCCCCGCGGCCACACTCAACAACCAGATGCCCCGCGGCCACACTCAACAACCAGAGCCCCCGGCCACACTCAACAACCAGATGCCCCGCGGCCACACTCAACCAAGGGTCCCACGGCCACACTCAACAACCAGGGACCCCGCGGCCACACTCAAAAACCAGGGACCCCGCGGCCACACTCAACAACTAGATGCACCACTGCCACACTCAATAACTAGATGCACCACTGCCACACTCAACAACTAGATGCACCACTGCCACACTCAACAACTAGATGCACCACTGCCACACTCAATAACTAGATGCACCACTGCCACACTCAACAACTAGATGCACCACTGCCACACTCAATAACTAGATGCACCACTGCCACACTCAACAACTAGATGCACCACTGCCACACTCAATAACTAGATGCACCACTGCCCCACACTCAATAACTAGATGCACCACTGCCACACTCAACAACTAGATGCACCACTGCCACACTCAATAACTAGATGCACCACTGCCACACTCAACAACTAGATGCACCATGCACACCACAAACGGATGCACACTGACACCCCGAAACTCCTCCAGTAAAACTCCAGGAAAAACCACTGCCACACTCAACAACTAGATGCACCACTGCCACACTCAACAACTAGATGCACCACTGCCGCACTCAACAACCAGGGGCCCCGCGGCCGCACTCAACAACACGAAAGTTTTCACTTTTCAGATTTTGCCCCGAGGGGAATAAGAGGAACTATCCTACCATCATATTTAATCGGTGTCTCTGATGATAATTAACTATGCTATTATTAAATGAAAATTATGTCTTTAGCAGCTGACTCGGAGAAAATAAAGTTAATGGGACGAGGTATAGTTTTTCACTTAATGTACCAGGAATATCACTTGACATTCTGGTGAAATAGTTGTCCAAGGGAAATATTGTACAATATAAACCCCTCAAGGGAAGTTCCTTGACGTTGGTGAGAGGCTCTTGATCTAGGGGAGTGGATCTATGCTCCAGTTCCCTGAAGTGAACCTAAATACCTTCCATCCCTCCCTCCTACAGGCGCTGTATAATCCTACGGGTTTAGCGCTCCCCTTGATTATAATTCTAATAATTAAGTACAATTTAAAGTTATGGAAACAAAGCCTTGTTTTTGTCTAAGCTTCACCTGTATGTGATAATTTCCTCTATAAACTTAATAAATTAGATTAAACGGAAATATTTGAAAGAAGCAACAGAAATTATTAACGATATGCTGTAGTCGGAAAACTAATTCACACGAATGAGTAGGCTAATAGGAGGAGAAACAATAGGATAACTAAAGTTGTAAAGTAAAAAAAAAAAAATTAGCATATGAGCTAAAATAATCAACAAGAGAAAGAAGTTGCAGAAGCAATTGATAATTATGTGAGGAGTGGAGAGGAGGAAGGTAGAGGTGTGAGAGCGGGAGCAGGCCTTGGAAGTATGTAAATAGGCCTCCTACCAAACAATTCAAGAGTTTACTTACCGTACATGTACCTCACAACATACTTGACGCGGTTGTCCCAAGAGTAAGCCATTATGCTGAAAGAGAGAAAGAGAGCCGTTGGACACCAAGGGAGAAATGTCAAAAAACTGAAATGAATTTTTTGTAATAGATTCATGACGAACTTCTAAACAAACTGCACAAATAGTAGACTAGTGACAGAAGGAAGAATGAGATAAAACAAGTGTCATTAAATCCAGAAAGTCCCAGACTTATCTTTAAGTTTAAACCTGATCAATAAAATGCGTAATAGGTCATATGGGAAAATTCAAAATATTATCAACTGTTTATACACTCAAATATGATAGTTATATGACGATATTTGGCCATTTACAGATTACTATATGCCACGAGAGATTGTTGAATGATGAGCTGAGTAAGACTTAGCCAGTAACTCTCACTCCTTGGCAGTGATCGCCACAGCTCACCACTTGCTGATCTGATAAACTCACGTGTAATGTTTTATGGTCACTTTACGGATGCAACGTTTGCAGAGTTAATGGCTATCATCTCGGCCCCTTTCATGTCTACTCTAACAACATGGACATTTCTTAATTAGTATAATTTGACTAAGATAGGTAGTTGAATGATTCTGCCAGCGAACTTAAAATTCATCTCAAAATACGAGTGTAAAAGCAGTCTGTCCAAGAGTTGCTAAATTCTACTAGAGTAATTCAACAGGTTAAGATGCCTCGAAAACCATTCCGTCTTGTATTATTATATGAACTAGAAAATATTTTGCAAATTGAGACTTAAATTACAGTATTTTTTTAATGTTGATGATTAGGAAACATTGAAGTTGTCTAGGTATTGATTTTGTATACAAAATTTTGCCCTGTTGACAATATCTTTAGGCAGGAATGCATGATATTGGGCACACACTGTGGTGCCAAGCTCAATCTGGTGTGCTATCAACAAGTGGTTCAACATTGTCAGAGACTACTGCCGTGGCTACCCAAGTATTACTTTCACTTGCTGCTTTAAAAACTTTGGAGAGAAACTGCAACAGTCACTGTTAGGCACAGTAAAAGACCTTCTAACTACAAGTGACGAAAATATTGAGAGAGAGAGAGAGAGAGAGAGAGAGAGAAAGTGGAGCGAGTGGGCGGCCATGAGAAGTAACAGGTGGTCGAGGTGATGACATTTGTTTACCCTAACTTCATACCACCTGTTTGACTTCAGTTTTCACCTTCGAGAGTTATTCATGAACGTAGTTCTAGATGGCATTAACAACTTTCCATTCTTATCTGATATAACCTTTGAGTCTACCATGCCTTTGTCGTTCAGCTCAGATTCTACTTTAATGTCATTTGATTTCTCGATTCTCAATATATCAAAACACGCTTGTTGTCAGGCCTTCCTCGAAGTTTCTGATAAATTTTCGGTCATACAAGAGACTTTAAATATATTGGAAGCTAATTATTTTGCCTAGTAAGCTGTTATTAATATTTAAGTCCAAGATAACAAGAGAGAGAAACAAAAAAAATTATAAAAGATGAACGGGAGAGAGAGAGAGAGAGAGAGAGAGAGAGAGAGAGAGAGAGAGAGAGAGAGAGAGAGAGAGAGAGAGAGAGAGAGAGAGAGAGAGAGAGAGAGAGAGAGAGAGAGATTGAGATTCTAGAATGCTGCCAGTGATGGATTACAACATATGTGAGTTGTTCCACTTTAAGTTCTCCAGCTGAATTGCTCTAAGGTAAAACTTATGATTTTAAGACGAAGTGAATCACTGTTAAATTGTAAGTGGTTATATCAGAGGAAAATGCATCGTAAGTTAAAGGAGTCAAGACAAAGATGCCACATCAGTGACATAAAAAAAAATATTAACTGTGAGTATAGTCGGAGATAACACTGAAAATTTGCTGGCACTTTAAAAAAAAATGGTACAGAAAAAATCCACTTCTGCTAAGAGAAAAATACAAGTGCAGAAAGAGAGGAAAAAAAAGATAAGTAGGTTAAGTGTCACTTCACTGTCACTGTGTTAGTGAACACTAGAGTAGTGTTCCCGCGGTTAACACTTGAGTGTTCTCACTTGTACACTGAGTTAACGGCACTGCTGTTAGTAGCCCTTGTGTTTCTTTTTCACACTGCACTGTACTCCTTCACTCGCCACCGAGTCTGTTCATTGACTCAGGCTAACTCACCTATTAGATTTTGTCGTCTAAACCTTTAAGGACCGCTTGTTTCTCGAAAGCCGAAGCCGCACGATGCCGCTCTGATCTGGGTCCCTGGCTTATATACTCCATGAGGCCGGCCGCTCCTGCGCGCTGATTGGTCAGTCCTAGACCCGGCCATCTTTATCCCAAAGTCGAGGGCAGGGCCAGGTTGTTGTCTTGTTTTAGTCGCACCAAATATACACACCACCTGCATATTCTGTTACACTTCTTGCCAGCAGGGGTCCCCGAATGGCGATCTTCTCCCTTAATCCAATCCCCCCATTACATCCCCCACTCCGTTAATCTCTCTCTCACTCTCTTTCTCCTCCTTTCCTTCATCAGCTGAGCTACCTCTTGGCCAAGAAAAAAAGACATGTCAGTGATGGTTAGAGTCGCAGGTGAAGGAAATTCCTGACTGCCCCTCAGCAGGAATCTCGATAAAAATAAATGGGAACTGTGGTAGTGGAGGCCGTAGCCGGGGGTACAGATGCTACTGTTCTTATTAAGAGGTCAGACGTGTCGTCTACAGCACCCTGGTGCCACCTGCACTTAGTACGAGCATGACCACCAGACTACAAGCACCAAGCTGTAGAAAACCAAGACTGATAACAAAACGTCTCTAAACGAGACTCCCGGATAGAGAAAAAGAGGTTTTCAAAGTAAAAGCAAAAAAGAAAGGAATACCTGGGAAGAAACCAAAATTGCTATTAAAGTATCTCTGCAGAAGACAGACAGGAAAAGAGAAGAGAAAATTTCAAAGCAAGTACAAAAAAGGATGAATGCTGGTAGAAACAACATGAGTACGAGGAAGTCCGTTAGGAAAATTTGAAGAGAAAAGAAATATGAAGAATGGGAGAAAATGAACAAATGAAGGGTGAAAAAAAGACAAAATCGCAAGAAAAATGCGAACACAGAAAGTACCGTGTGAGGAAATACGACCAGAGAACTTATGAAGATTTTCAAGCCCAGAGTATGTAGAAGTGACTTACACAAAATGTAAGCACAGTGAAGACAATCTGCAGAAAGATGTCATAGAGCATAAAGAAAACAGTGATTATGCACGAAGAATTGATAAACAGGACATATATCGAAAATAAGAGAAATGAAGAATAAAAATGAGAAGACAAAAAACATTTAACAGAAATGAAACATATAAAATTTATGTGTAATGCTGACAAAAAAAGAAGACAAACGCTGGTATATATTACACAAATGAGGTCCCACTTCTAATTAGGTTAATGAGTACCCGTATCAACGGAGCAGATAATGGTAGGAACGAGGAAATTTAATTGTTTCTCTAAGTGCTTACAAATATTTTCCTATACCAACTAATATTCTGTTGAGTGCTTTTTTAAAGCATTATCATCTTACAAAAAATAAATAAATGAAATGTTAGATGTGAAACTCGTGGAGCCTCTGGGAGTCTGGCGTGAACCTATTATGAAGCAGACATTTACATTTTCACTCTGAACGACCATACTAAGGCGATGAAACATGGAGGTGGCAGTCTGTGCCTCTCAAGTTGTTAGGATCAGCCTGGAATTCAACTCTCTGAACACTTTTAGTGTTTTTTCTTCCCTCCAAGGACCACAAGTCTTCGATCCCATTGGGATGAAAGGGTAAGGATGGTCCAGTTTCCTATATTTGTCGACCTTGTTTGTTTCCATATGATCTGCAGAGCTACCCTGTTGAGAAAGGAACACTTATGTTGTCAGTAGATTCACGTGTATATCTCCACACCGTCTCTGACATTTTTTGCAGTCCCAGGCTGAGGGATAATCTCGATCCCTTTTGTCCCGCAAATTTGATAATCCGGTATTACTTTGTACCCCATAAAAGAATGTCAACCATCTGGTGTGGGACTACTCACATCTCTGCTGGCTAACAAAACCCCCTTAGTGCAGGTCAGCAGGATATTTCTGATGATCACAGAGAAACAGACAAGCTCAATAAGTACTATAAGGTCTTGGATCACCAGTACCACTTAGTCCCATCTATGGGCTGCCAGCTTACCAGAGCCTCAGCTTAGTATCTGGAAGGAAAACCCTTGCCGCATCCGCGCTTCCAGCTTGCCTCCAAGAAGCTCAAACGAGTCCAAAACTTGTCGGTTATTAATATATTCATCATGTTTCATCCCCAGCAAATATTTAAAAAAAAATAATTTGAATCGTAGAAGAAAATATGAATTATCTCGTGGAGAATCGACAATATTCCTTCGAAACGCTATATATATTTTTTTACCTATATATTACATAATTCAAGAGTGCAATCGACACTGGTCAGTAGCACAAGTAAACCCGCGTTGAAAAAAAAAAATACAGAAGATTAAATGACTACTGTACAGAATACGCAGACTTAACCTGGCTGTTGAAGACAGCCTCAGTGTAAGACCACAGTAAACAGTAACCACTGTAACTCATGCTTCAATGTCTTCTTGTGGGTTTGTCCATACATACTCGTACATATAAATATTTATATTTTAACGCATAAGTCGTTCCCCACCAGGATGATTCAATGAAGAAAGCACATTCACCATTACTCACTCTCTAGCTGTCTTTCCAGGAGTCCCACCGAATTACAACTTCCCTTCAGGATGCAGGTATTATGCTTCCTATCTTCAACACTGTAGCATTCTCACTCATCCTTCAGAGTGCAGCTACTATACTTCTCACCTCCAAAACAGCAAGCACTGTGCCTCACACTTCCAAAACTGCAAAATCCTTACTGATCCTTCAGCCCGCAGGTACTGTGCTTAGCAATGTAAGTATAATACTACCTGTATCCCTGAATTCCTTCACAGACATTACCTCTCTCACTCCAGCAGCTCGTCAAATCCCTCCGCGATGCAAGACCCACATAAATGATTGTCTACTGACTAGCCGAAACAAGTTTATATATATATATATATATATATATATATAATATAATTTAATATATATATATATATATATATATATATATATATATATAAGCGTGTTTGATGGGAGTGAATGGAGACAAATGGTTTTTAATACTTGACGTGCTGTTGGATTGTGAGCAAAGTAACATTTATGAAGGGGTTCAGGGAAACCGGCAGGCCGGACTTGAGTCCTGGAGATGGGAAGTACAGTGCCTGCACTCTGAAGGAGGGGTGTTAATGATGCAGTTTAAAAACTGTAGTGTAAAGCACCCTTCTGGCAAGACAGTGATGGAGTGAATGATGGTGAAAGTTTTTCTTTTTCGGGCCACCCTGCCTTGGTGGGAATCGGCCGATGTGTTAATATAATATATATATATATATATATATATAATATATATATATATATATATATATATATATATATATATATATATATAATATTATATACACTTAAACTATTAATACTACTAACATGGTTACGAGAAAGCACTAAGCTCTTAAAAACACAACAGCAGAAAATACCAACAGTACGTAAATAAGTCACAATACGTGACATTTCACGGTGAAGACACTTCATCCACCAGAGACGAACTGATAAAGTCACTAGTGAACGTAACTTCTTCACAATAAAATGCCACAATCCGCACTGTGTGAGGTGAGGGGTAGCTAAAATAACCTCGATCAAGAGCCCTTCAATAATATAACGACGCGCTCTTAGCAGGTATGGTCATAATATTCTACTCCAGGGGTCCCTAAACTCTTCACCTCATCGACACCTTCATGAAGCTTCAGACTGTTCATCGACCCCCAAACATTTATTTTAAGAAAACTTAATAAATAACACTTTAACTAATAGTACTATGAATAATAATAATAATAATAATAATAATAATAATAATAATAATAATAATAATAATAATAATAATAATGATAATAATAATAATAATAATAATAATAACTTCATAAAAAAAAGGTAATGTTGAAATTGGGAAAAATATATGATTTAACAATTTTTTTTTTCTGAAACCGTTGATATCATTAACGGGAAGGATGTATCATAAGAGCGTCAACAAGGACACTGATATTTAGTTGGTGATTGGTGAGTTTTAGTAGTAAGTCACCATACTCTTCCAGGTTCAGTCTGTTCCTCTGATTAGTAAGAATTGCATTGGCATGGTTAAAACCAGCTTCACCCATATACGAGATGCATCTCGAGGACACGAGATGCTCCTCGAGGATACGAGATGCACCTAGAGAACACGAGATGCATCTCGAGAACACGAGATGCACCTCGAGGACACGAGATGCACTTCGAGGACACGAGATGCTCCACCCCTCGTCCACTGACACAACATCCCAGAATCTGCAAGAAACTGTTCACTTTCCTACTTAACCTCTGTATATACCAGTTCTCTCATCATTCTTTTTGTATCTGCTGAAAAGGGCCTGGATTGGAGGCCTAAATAAACTATTCTCCCATGTTTCTCTCTCCCCCCCACCAGAATAATATATTATATATATATATATATATATATAATATATATATATATATATATATATATATAGTGACCACGAACATGTGGTTTTGATCAATAACAACACTGCGACTAGCCAAGGATTCGAACCCATGCTGCTTTAGCCAGCCTCATGGCGAGCGAAAACCCATGACGCTCTAACCCACAGGACCACGCAATCCTACGATTCCTAGGATTGCGTGGTCCTGAGGCGGGCCAAAACGACATGAGTTAGAGTCCTTGGCTAGTCGCAGTGTTGTTATTGATTAAATACCACTCGTTCGTGGTTACAAAGTGTTAGAATGGCAGAAAAAGATGTTAGGAAAACAGAAAAAGTGTTAGGTGATGGAAATAGTTCCAGGATGATAGCAAAAATGTGTCAGAATGACAAAGAAAGTCTCAGGATGGCAGAAAAAGTGTCAGGATGACAGAAAAAGTGTCAGGATGACAGAAAAAGTGTCAGGATGACAGAAAAAGCGTAAAGATGACAGAAAAAGTGTCAGAATGACAGCAAGAAAAGTGTCAGTATGACAAAAAGTGACATGACAGAAAAAAGTGTCAGGATGACAGAAACAGCTTTCAAACTGACATGGCTGACGTAGCGTGCTGACAGGGGCCTCAACAGTGGCCAGAAGGATGGTTCCATTCTTGAGGTGATACTGAACACTTGACGAGGTGGGGAGAGGGATGGAGGGGGGGGGGGACATATAGCTCCTGGAAGGG